AATTTTTACAACTGGGCCAAACCTATGATTTTTTCCCATTCTGTTTTTTTCACGTAAAATTTTATAGTGTCTCTACTGATTGTTTTCCTTCATCTGAGCGTGTGTTGAATTTTTGTGCAACACTAAGACGATAATCTATTACTCTGCTGCCGCGAATATTCCAGCACACATCACTATTAAAATACAAGCTCGAGCTTGATCCCAAGCTGGGCAGATAAAGCTCGGCTCGCAATGATGACATTAGGTTTGCAAGCTCAAGCCTAAAATTAAATTATCATGGGAGCCACTAGAGATGGCATCATTGACTGGAGGAGGAGTGCCACAACATCTTGTGAAAGAAAGCATCGACATGGCCATCAATCAACTAATCGAACTAGCTTGCGAGCAAACGAGCCTAATTTTGACAAACTTGAACTCGAGCTCATTTAATAAACTCATCACGTGAGCTCATAAACAAGTATAGCTCGAGCTGGCTCACTCACACCCCTAGCGTCCATACAAGTCCAAATTGAGCATAAAATCAATCCATATTAAACCAATCTTCCAACAAAATATCATTTCATCCAACAAATGTGCCATCACTTAGGAAGGATCCAAATAATCACCTAAAAATAAAAAAACAAAAAAGAAAAGCCATTCTGGCACATAAGAGAAGAATCATCGTAAGCCACCAAAGTAAGAGAAAGAGAAAGAGAAGGTCCAAGTCCACCCCCAACACAAAAACACCTCAAAAGCAACGCCTCCAACCGCTTTATTTCCCCCCTCCCTCCCCTCCCTCCACTTCCACCCCTCCCCGAAAGCAAAGACTCCATTAATTCCTCTCTTCCATTCCTTCAACACAAGTACGTATACAGAGATCCCTTGCTCCACGGCCCACAGCAAGATTCCAGTCACATGTGAAGCCGAATTAGCATTCCACGCTCCCCCATCCCCATCTCCTTTCTCTCCCCCACTTCCCTTCTCCTTCTCATTCTAACGAGGCAAAATCAGCCATTTTTTCAAACGTCATTCTCTCCCTCCTTTAATGCCTCCTTCCACGCTTACCAGAATCATGAAACCTCCAAGTCCCCCTTTTTCTCTCACTTCCCTTCATCCTCCACTGTTTGTATATATTCCTCACCGAAGGCCTGTCTCATCCCCAGCACTGCATGGCTTGGCTTCACCATGTCGAAGAAAACTCAGAGAGCGGCATTCATGAGTACTCCGATTCTCACCGGCGAGCAGACGACGCCTCTGAGGCCTCTCAAGTCTTACTTAGATACGAAATCAAGGAATGGCGAGTCATCGAGCATGAACAGAAAAACAATTTCAGACCTTTTCAGCTCGTCGAGACTGCTGAACTGTATCAAGAACAGGGTTAGGAGAACCTTCGGCGCCCTGCTGCTGAGGAAGAGAGAGAGCCGCCAAGAAACTTGTGCGCTCTCGCACTTTGTCCCGCCCAGAGATTCTCACCATTCTGAAGCTATGGAGGACTGCATTGACTTTATAAACTCTTCTTACAGGAAATCACTGTCGGCTTAGTCTGTTTGATTGCTATCATTTGCTACTTTTTTTGGTTTGCTAATGCTAGTTATTATAGAGCGGCGAATGCAAATGCATCTAATTGATGAGGATGTTTTTTTTTTTTTTTATATTATTTTTTGCTGGTTTGTTTGTTTTGTTACTGGTTAGCAACTTTTTGTGTAATGCTGTTTGTTTTCCAGTCTGATAGGATAATGTTTAGTTAGATTATGCAAATTTTGGGAGTTATCTTTGTCTTGTGTTCCCATATATTGAGATATTATTCGCTTTGGCCTAATATACTCGTAGTTTTGTCGTCTTGGTGTAACTTCCCAAGAGGTCACCAATATGATCAGGATCACATGCTTCTACAGAAGTATATTTAACTTTGAAGTTTCTGATGAATTCTAACCATTATATCATAATGAATCTTGATGTTTAAGAGTTTGGCATTCTGCACGGGCATTATAATTGAAAATGAAATAACATTTGAGTGACATTTTAGAAGGCATATCCAATTCCGACATCAATATTTGAAATAGATGGCAAAGCAATATTGGTCTAAAGAGTTGAGAAATAGCTGAAACATAATTCAATTACTGAGAGTTAAAAAAAGAACAGAAAATATAAATGGCACATACATAATATACAAAAACTTTATATAGGCTCAAATAATTAATAGCTATTTACCATTATTGTTGTTGTATATTTCACTATTATTTGCATGTGAAATAATTTAAGGCTAAAAAAATGACTTGGTCCAGTACTAAGGATGGATGCATGCTATAATCATAAAGATTTGGAACCAGGAAAAAGACTAAGTAGGGCTGTATTATTGAATGTCATGATCATCAAGAAAACCAAAAAAAAGGCAGAAGGAATAGCATGAACATGCAAAAATCAAAGATTGCTATAAGTGCAAATAATATAAAGCATTCAAAAGAGATAAAAAACAAAATTGATTTTCTGTGTAATGTTGCTTCATCCAAATTCACTCGGCTAAAGATTGCCTAGAACAATTCAACTATGTTTCATTATAGATGTTAAACAAATTATATCTAATGAAGATAAATATCTGCCCCTTTTTTTCTTTTTTGAATGGAGGATACTATTAATAGTAAACTGAAGATAAATTTAATTTTGAGCACTTAAGCACTTTTTTTCCTCGCTCCCTAATTATCACAGAACCACGATTCAAGATGATGAAATATTAAACATACTCTCCATATAACAACCCCCATTAAGGTATTGTATTCTTTGACCTAATGACTTTACAGTATTGTCTCATTGTTGTAACTTCCCAATAGATCACACATCCCGAGTGTTGATTTAACTTTGGAGTTCCTGATAATTTTTTAACCCAACCATTACACTAAAAGGCGCCTTGATGTATATGAGTTCAGATTCATTCTATTTTTAAAAAGATTTCTAATGTCTCTCACTTAAGTAACTAAAGTCATCGTCAGTTTTCTTAACTTAGAATCATAAAAATAATAAATATTTCTATCTTCATACTACTGTGACGCTTTGGTATCGTATGTAATAGCCCAAACCCTTACCTATGGATTCATTGTTTGTTTCAGTTTAATGACCATTCAATTTAGTCCAACTAGTATAACTTCCGAGGAGATCATCCATACTTAAAGTGCTCTCGCACAAGCACATTTAACTTTGGAGTTCTTAATAAAATTCCAACCATTTCACCAAACAGTGTCATGATATTTAAGTGTTCAACTTCATTCTTCTTAAGGGGTTTCACACTCCAAATAAGGCAACACTTAAAAATGGGCTCAGGTCAATTAATAATGATCAATTCTCTAAAAAGATGTGAAATTGTAAATATATAATATTTTATCATACCTAAAGTTTTGGGTCTAAATATTCAATTTTACTGGATATAAGATATCTTATTTGAGCATAAGGTGTTTTACTCTGATATAAACTAATATAAGGTGATCACTTAAGTACGAGATGTTTGCATCAGGAATAAAATTCATAAAATCACTTATTTAGTGCATCTTTCATGGTGATAAATAATAAATTTATATTTAGTCGCATGTGACAGGTAATGCAACTGTATTTTAAATGTAAATTTATTTGAGTATGGTATTATTCTTGAAATAATGCTACAATCTCCAAACAATTCCACACACACATCAATTGTACCAAATTCATTCTTAACATATATCGAATTTCAGCTACTATACCCTTTTGCAGCCTAATTGTTTTCCCTCAATAGGTAAACTTGTTGCTAGAGAGAAAACAACCTCATTTTGTTCTTGTTCTCTCCATCCATGGATTGATCAATAACTAGTTTAGAAAAAGAAAAGACAAGCATAGATAGCTTACGATGAGTCTCCTAAAGTTGTTGAATGTTGTTTAAACATCTAGCAATTGTTAAAGAGAGCATTGGAATCAAGGAATCATGGAAAGAAGAGGATGAATGCTAGATTTTTTAGGTGTGGATTGAAGGAAGAGAGTTTATTGCTTTATTCTTATGCTCAATGAAATTCGAAAAGGCCATACTTAAGGGAGGCATTAAATACATTATAAAGAAAGAAAGAAAAAGTATCCTACCCACCTATGATATTTAGCTCGTCATATTAGAAAAGGCACATAACCCACTTAAGAAATAAAATAAAGAGAGAGAAAATGCTAGAAGAGAAAATACCATTCTTTCTAAATGCCATCCTTTTAAACACTATTACATATATATGAAGACCTTCTCAGAATTGAAACCACTGAATTAAGAAAAGATAATAGCAAAAAAAAATTCTAATAATAAAAAATAGCAAATTTGTAACCACACATGGTAGTATAACTTAATATATGTAAGTGGTAGCATACTTCCTTGCATAAACATCATAATAGGCCGTCCCTACATCTATTGAACTCAACATAAATGAATGAATTTGTATATTAGCTTCAATAGGAGATTGGTATGCTTATATATAGATGTTGAGGTGGGAGATGTGAGTAGATCAAGAGGTAGATTTATAATGTAGGCATTATATTTAATACACTTGAGTACAAACAAAATGCCCACATTTATGTGAACTCAAGTTGGAAAAGATGTCATGTTCAGATCATTCCCTGAGCATTCTAACCATAACGAGGTCGACGGGATCAAACACCTTGTACTGTTTATGATTATAAGCATGTTTTTTGTAATTACATTTGGAAGTTGTTGATCCAGATTGAATTTCTTGAAGTAGGAGGGTAGTGAAGTCTTGCTCTTATATTTGGGTAATACAATATCCATTGTATGATTAAGTATTTTTATATAAATGATGCTAAAGGGACTTTTTCCTATCGAATTGTTAAACAGTGAATTATATGCAAGTTATCTCAAAATGATATCCTATTGTTTCGGATGGTCTTGAACAAGGTTCTGGATTATATTCCAAAAGGTGTAGTTGGCAACTTTGATCTGCCTATCTATTTGCACGTAATAAGCAATACGTAACTGAAGAGTTGTCAACAAACATTACAATTTTTTTTTTTCAAAAATAACTGTAACATAGCAAATCTAAAAAGACAAACTGCGACACCATCAACATCTTTCTAACAACAATTTCCAACATGTTACACCATCAACAGCTTTCTGACAGCAGTTTTCTTATAAGGCAGCTTCACAACCACTTCTTCAAAAAGCATCAGCTACCCCAAACATACCCTTAGTAATTTGTCAACACAATAAAAAAGAATTCAATGATGCGAAAATCACTTTTATAACAATAGGAGGCAAAATATGAAACCCCTTGTCCTAAAAAGTTAAACGCTGTGCTGCATCCAAAACATTACAACCGGACTTCTATTCCTTTCTCTAGCAAATGCTTTTTGACAGATAAAATCAGCACCTGCACGCAGAAACAATACTGTGCTGATATTTTCTTTAACAACTAAATTTTATATATTTACAAAAAATTGCAATCAAAATGCCTTTTTTCATCAAAATACCACTAAAATCTTAAAGATCACATGCCATCAACCTCCATTCTTTAAATACTTGATTATTTTGTTATATCTCACGTAAGTTCATGAACATAGTAGTTCATGTTTAATAATAATAATAAGGGATATTAAATACCACAAGATTCTTATATATTTACATTTCAACTTCTTAACTTTAATATTTACAAATACACCGCTCAAATTTTTAATATCATATCAAAAATACCACTATTGACAACCTCTTAAAAATAAAATGCATATTTTCATGCATAGGCATAGAACACCGAAGCGATATAAAATTCAATATCAAACTTTAGGTGTTAGATGTGTATAAGCATAAGAATTGTGTGGTATGCAACCAAATTTCCCAAATAATAATAAGATTTACAAACATACCACTAAATTCCTAGGTATTTACATATATAACATCTAAACTTCAATTTTTACATACATACCGCTTCACATATGCATGAAAAAGTGTATTTCACTTATCAAAAGTTAAAATGGTGGCATTTTTATATGAGTCGAAAGAATTCTTGGTATAAATGTAAAAAAGCAAAGCTTGGGTGTTAGATACGTAAATGGATATGAATTGGGTGGTATGTATGTAATAATGTAAATGCCCCTAATAATAATTGATTCCCAATCAAAGCAAACTTTAGAAGCTCAATAAAATACTTCAGTGGAAATTTTTCTTTCAAAAAATGGAATGAAGAGAGATATTACACTAACTGCTCTCATCTTTATAAGGTAGATTCTGCTTTTCACGAAACTTGAAATTTAAAACAATAATAAAGTAAGGATTGAGTGGCTTACTAAATAGTCTCGTTCTGGGTGCTACAATGATGAACAAGATTTTAAGAATGCGAGGCATACCTCTCTGCGATGAAAAATGCCGGCTGCGAGTGCACCTGAAGCACTTGTCTTCTGAAACACTTCAGAGAAGTGCTGAACAGCACCAGCTCCACTGCTTGCAATTACAGGAATACTAACAGCATCACTAATCAATTTGATCAGCTCTATGTCAAAACCTTCTCCTTGGCCTGTAAAATCAACAGCTTCAAAGCATTATCTTCCAATTTTATATCAATCAACAATGCAAATAAGTATCTAAAAGCCAATATTCTACTCTAAGATCTACTCAACTTCAAGCTATTATCTATCTATTACTAGATTATAAACCCTACGATGATGTTTCTCAAATCCAAACCGCAAAATCTGGATGCATTTGCAAATTGTATGATCCAAATGAGAGTAGTGAAACCATAAATTTGCTTCTTTGAACTCAATTTAGGCAAGTACATCTTTCAAACGCATCCTAAGGCTTTGTCTGAATTGAACGATGGTAAAAAAAGAGAATGAACACAAGCTATTTGTGAGTTAATTGTGAATAAAAAACTAATGATGTGAGATATTCAACTCTTTATTTAACTTCCAGGAGTAAAATTCCTAACAACCAACTAATCCAAAAGCAGTGTTGCAAATTAGAATAAAATTTCATGAAAGTAGAATACCATCACAGTCAATGCAATTGAGTAATATTTCTCCAGCTCCAAGTTCTTCCACAGCTTTTGCAACCTCATAAGCTCCAATGGGTCGTCCCTCGCGTCCGCCATTAACCTGGAGTGATTCCATCAAGACTCATTTAAAAGAGTCCACCTCCATGACAAACACAGCTTCATGACGAGATAGTGATGTATATGCTACGGAAATTTCTTCAATACAGAACTACCTTAAATAAGAAAACAAATATATTTGGAATAAAACTATCAATCAAAAAGGCTCACCGTGCATTGATACCACGCATAATGTTCTCCATCTGGGCCTAAAGTTGACATTAGAAGAAGCCAAACAAGTATAATTTCAGATCAAGATTTGCAAATTGTAGAGAGAAGTGGCAGCCAGATGAATTTCAGATCACTATGAAAGTTATACCTGGATTCCTAAGCTTTACAGTTTTAAATTCAACTTCTTCAGGAGTCTTGATGTATATTCTACGAGGATCTATACTTACCACCACAGCCTGAAATTATAAAAAGAAAAAATTAGTAATCGTCAATTTTGTACAATATCATTTATTTTCAACAAACATCTTATTACGCTTATGATTATCAGATCTATAATACTATAACAAAGTGGGACATTATAGGATGATAAACCGGGTAACAATATCATTATTCAAACATTCAAGTAGTTGAGAAAGAATGATAACAACCTGATTGCCATATACCGCAGAAATCTGCTCTATACTGCTTTTTCCCGTCTTTACCTGAACAGGAGAATACTGACTTTCAGTCGAAAGGCATGAACAACAACAAGCAGGTTTAAACAAAAATACGTACTCCAGTTTTTAAATAGCTCTCTGCAGCGTAAACTGCATCACTTCCAATTGAAATTTTATCTGCACCTGATCTGAAGTATTCCGCTGCTACTTCCAAACTTGAATAGTACCTGAAAAAGAAGAACAACATGATTAAATTTAACGGGACCAAATTTTAACAGTAATTATAAAAATTAGAAATATGAAAATAAGAGAGACCCTGGCTCACATAAGAGCAACTACACTGCAGATTGAAATAATTACAATAGCTTTATCTCACAGAAAAAAAAAAAAAAATGTATGCAACTTTATTGCACCTTTTTGTAATGAAAAACTGCAGATAGTGAAGAAAGGTGACACGCGGTTTAATCATTTGTTAAACTGCAGATAAACTACTCCGATAGCATGACTGTGCACTGATCTGCTTACAAAACAATGATCAGAAAGTTTCTAATCCCAAAGGGCTAGTACATTGCTTCAGCAGCCCTTATTGTTGAAATATCCATATATGATCCATGAATGAGTTGACATCAAGAATCGACATTGGGCGCAAATGTCACATAGATCAAAGATGGATTGTGTAACACCATTTGCTCAAAAAATGGGATGCAACGATGCGTCAAAGCTCCTAAAATGCTTAGAAAAAGTCGCACGACAAAGATGGAGGTTGCTAAATGGGCGACGGAAAGTTGAAATAGATTGAATCAAGTGCCGCTGAAACTGCTAAAATGAATTTCATTTGCAAAATGGACTGCACGAGTTGGTACTAGATATGGAAACTGCCTAGAGAGGATACTTGTATTGTCCAGCTTTCTTGCACTCGACGTCAACACAAATTTGAGGTGACACAGACTGAGATGAGTAACGAAAAATGAAAGATAAGCAATTAATGCACAAATGCTTTATTTCTCTCTATATACATATATTTGATATGATTCTAATAATATAATTAATAATCTTATTAATATTAAAAAAAATTATCCAAGTAGCCATCCACGTCTCATCCATCTCACACCTCTGCTATCACCACCCAGTTCTCCAATCAAATGAAAAAAAAAAAGAAAAGATAAATAAATAAAAGGTCCTAATCTACCCTCAGAACATGCACCATCTGCCAAAATGAACACCTTACACGGTCTCCCGGGTTTAACGCTACATTTTTTAGGAAAAGATTTTGAATTGCTAAGATCTTTTACATTGAAAATCAGAGCATAATTCTGAAAAATAAGTAATAAATAATCAATGTGATTAGCTTTTAACTAACACAAGCCAAAAGAAAACAATGATAGTAGCTTGACTAGCTAGAACCAAATAACAAGTGATTCTTATTCAGAGTTTTGTGCTTAATATAGAACTAACATCGACGGTTATTGTTAATTGAACTATAGTTAACATCAAAGATAAGACCCATCTTAGCTCGGATCTTTTATGATGTTCAAAGAAAACGCTAAGTGATAGGGGTGCTATTGAAATTATCTCCATACCTATCAATCTCAATGAAAGAGGAAGTTCTGTTTTGAGGATCCTTGAAGTGCAGCTTAGAATATCTTCCTTTGAATAAATGCATTTATGCAATGGTACTGCTTTAGTTCGAACCTCAAAATAGTTTCTTGATCATCAAATATCAGGCACAAAACATGTCCATCAAAACTACATTAGAGTTTTGAAGATATTAAAAAGTTGACAGAATGTTGTGATAATCTGCAAAACATTTCTAGCTAGCTGAAAGAAAGAATACCTCAGAAGAATCAATTTCAACTTCAACGAATGTCCGACCGCTAAGACTTTCTCTGTCAAGTCATTTGACAGTGTCTCGGCAATGTCACCCTCCATCACTGTTTACCGAGCGTGACAAATTTAAAGTTAGCCTGAGCTCACAATGAACTAATGTCGTACTGAGTATACTACTACATTTACACTCAAAAGAATCTCATGCCAGTAAAACATAGCCCTAGTCATCTATTCGTGTGATTTGGCCAGTGAGCTCCATAAACAAAGTTGTTATAACCAGAACCCTCTGCTCGAGTGATTTGGTCAAATAGGCTCCACTATATTACGGTCACGATTATAGCCTGTACGTTCTCCAATTAGTTATGCCCTTTTAGTTATGAAGTATAGGTTATACCAGATAAGACAAAAAATATTTTATTAACTAAGGTTAGCTTGAATTAATCTTTTTAGACAAAAGCCCACCTCAGGTCCATAGAGACTCCTTGGACAAAGCAACCCAAGTTTGTTGACAAAAAATATTCTGTAAGGTTGGGTCCTCTACTCCTCAAAATAAGTAGATCAGAAACCATGACAATTTGGGGGATCTCAATCGGGTTCGTTGTCATTCTCTTCAACATCTACTCTTAGCTCACAACGATAAATTTTAACCCAAAATTTAAGTCTATTGCTATTATATGATGAGCAAATCAACACTCCAATAACTAACATTTATTGAAAGTGCTCTATTATTATTGAGAGGGATAATTAACCATATGGGAGTGTGCCTATGAAAAACATCAAACCCAAGATCTTAAATTTCTTACAAAATAAACGTGAAATCTGAGTAATATCCTACTATTGTCTCGCTCGTCTATACGTAAAACTCTCTCCTCTCAGTCATCTTTAAGAGAAAAATTTATTAAGTGTGGAATCCACATGCATGCAGACTTCAGTACAAAATGGTTCTATTTGTTGAATTTTTGAGTTTTCTCAAAAATACAACCAATACAACAATATTGTACTGAAGTTCGCATGCATACATTATCTGCACTAATAATTCCTCTTTCAAGAGAGGGCGAGGTGCAAATTTTTCGGGAACCACACTCATATAGTTAATTCCATAGGTATCCAAGGAGTCAAACTATAAAGTAATAATGCCAACAAAACATGCAAGTCAAAAGACCTGGAACCTTAAGAAAAGGAATAGAAATGCATCATCATGTTTTCCACACAATCATTTGCCTGGAGATATCCCTCAGTACAAGCAGAATAATCACTAGCTACGAAAACAGTAATTAGTAAGAATTAAAAATATTGGCTGTGCATTTCTTTCTTTGAAAAGGCTCAGCTTCTATATTAAGAAAGAATCCATTTGGTTAAAAAACACTTGATGAGATCCTCGATGTTAATCAAGTAATTCAAGCTTGATCAAGCTCCCAGAAGAAAGAAAAAACAAAGGAATAAGAAAAGAGAATTCATTTATTCAATCCATCCTCCCCAAATGGGGTATAAATAGGATACAATACCTGTCTTTAACTAATTTCTATATTAAGCCCATGGTTAACTACTAAACTAATGACAAGTGGGTTCAAATAATTACTCCCCCTCTCACAATGATCTTTGCCCTTTAAAGTACCAAATTAATCAAACGGAGATGGTGGTTATCCAAAAAACTACGATCTCTCAAATGGTTGTACTTGTGTGCGAAAATAACAATAATGGCACTAAAGAAAAGCTTGATCGATAAGCACCTAAGAAAATATTTGGGTACATCCCTTAGTAACCATGAATGTGGTACCTATTTGTCTAGCTACAACTCCTATTGATCAATCGTGTAGACCAGTTAAAGTGACACAGCCTTTTAAACATCTGAATCCTCCATAATCTCTTCATCAGCCAAATTTCGAGCGGTTGGCATCCTATTAAAGATGATCTCCAAGAGCATCTTCAGTGGTTTCAAATGGATAATCATTAATCCCAAAAGAATGTATGGGCAGCGAAGAGGTAGAAGCAAAGACAGGTTTGTGGATCTACATTGGTGGACAATGTGGTTGATCAGTGATGGAAACAGGAAAGTGGCACTTAAATGAAAGGGAGTTGGGTAGTGAGGAGAGACGAGGGGAGGCTTGGAACTGCCAGTTAGCCAGCTGGATTCTTACTACTAGCGAGTGTTATGAGTTTGACGACCAAAATAACAAATTTTCAAGACTTTGTAAATAAAATTTAGATCTAGTTACGGTGAATATCGAATAAATTGGAATCATGGATCGAGGCATCAACAAAAGTATGAGATACAAGAAGGAACAACAAAATTTATTGATGAGAAGAAAAAATGATCTCAACAAAAGTTTTTGACAAGAAGAAAAGATTTCTTGGTGAGGTTGTTGGGTTGCGAATAGAGTGGAGTAAATGGAAAATTACATCATTTTGCACTCGAAGAAATATTTCCTTGAGATATGACAATGAAAAGCGATAATGATGAGCAACAAAATCATGGATTATGAATTTTGCAGAGGAATCTTTTGAGCAAAAATTGTGGATCTAACGAAAACAAGGATCCAAACTTAGAATGATGATATCATGTGCTGATATGATGTGAAACAACATGATACTCTGTGTTCAAAATCAGTGACTATTAATTAAGAACATACAAAAAAAGCACAATCATTGATCCTAATAGAACAATTTGAGCTTATTTAACTCCTAAAAGAAAATTGTAAATTAGATATAAGTAAAAGCAATTCATTCATTCATTTCATCCCATCATCTTCGCCAAATGACATAATTATAGGATACAATACTTAACGTAAACTAATTAAAATAATAACTAACATATTTTTAATTATTAAGCTAATAACAAAAGGCTTCGCATCCCCGCCTCCCTTGAACAAATCCTACAATCTTGTAATAGCAACATAGGTTTTGTGGGATTAATTTCCGATTTGATTTACCATCACAACATTGGTGAAATGTTCATGATGAATATTTTTGCGGTAATTGCTAACACTTACATATACTCCACAAGATGAGTCAATCAAACGCGACGAAAGTGACGAATAATGACTATGACATCATACAATCAAATATGAAAAAAATCATGATCACACTCAAAACCACCCAAAACATCATCAAATTGTAAAAATATGATTGCACGAGAGCATCCAGAATACCAAAACTGCCTAACAGGGATATTCCACAGTTGAAAGGACCAAACATGATGGAAAATGATGGAGCGATGAAGCGACGTGCGTAATTTGAACCTAAATTACCTCGATCGTCGACGAAATTGATCAAATGAACTTCATTACAAAACAGATTATGTGATTGCATCCGGAACATCTAATTCACCTAGAAATGACACCCATATTATTGTGCTTTCACGCGAGTTAACGACACAAAATTTGAGTCGACATGAATTTAT